CGGAGGGAAGAAGGAGTAAAAAAAAAAAAAAAGTCTTCCTCAAGGGAAGCAAAACCCTTCAGCCCTTTTGTAAAGGCACCAATCTCCTCCTGATCTGCATGATCTGAGGGCTTGGGAAATGCGCGTCTCCTAGAATGCACCTTAATTTTAGCTATAGGATCTGTCATTGAAAGTTAATTGCCTGTATAGCTCATGAAGAAATGTTGAGTGGAGCTTTCTGCATTTCCATGCAAGGCTTCACAGTGCAAGGAAATACTCTATTCCCAGGGTGCTTAGAATCATTTTATTGAATCCTTCTAAAGCAGCTACAGAAATATACTTCTCCGTTTAATAATTTGGCTCCGTTATTCCAAAAATTAAATGTGCATGTGATTGAAAGAGGCAGTGTATATTTAGAGCCCCTTTTCAGACATCTTGCATCCAAAGAAGTGGGCTGTAGTCCACGAAAGCTTGTGCACTAATAAATTTGTTAGTCTCTAAGGTGCCACAAGTACTCCTGTTCTTTTTTCAGACATGGTTCTTTCCACCCGGCCCCTGTTTTACAAATGAGCAAACTGAGGCAGAATTTTCAGAAGGGCTCAGTGTTTTAAAAAAAAACTCAACTCCTATTTAGGAATCTGAATAAGTGGCCAGATTTTCAAGAGAAAATATTTTGCTGTGTCCATGTTGGGTGCTCAGCTCCATTGAAAATAGGATCCATCACACTGGATCGGACCAGGGATCCATCAGGTCCAGTATTCTGTCTCCAACAATATCCAGTACCAGATGCTGTAGAGGAAGGTGTAAGACCCCTCACAGCAAGCATCTGTGGGATAATCTGCTCCTCACATTAGGTCTGCTCCAGATTTCTAAAAGCTAGAGATTGGTTTAAACCCAGAAGCATAAGGTTTAATATCCCTGCCAACATTTGTTAATATTAACTATTATAACGTTGGATATTTTTCCTAAGCACATAAGCATCAAATCTTTTTAAATCTTGCAAAATTCTTAGCCTCACTAGCTTCCTGTGGCAATGAGTTCCACAGTAACTGGATTTCCTTTTATCAGTTTTGAATAGAAATTCTGGTACAAAGTGTCACAGTGGGAACTTCTGGTTGCTGAACACTTTTGAAAATCCCCCATTGTGGGTACTGAGCACCTGAAAGTCTCACCCAGAGAGATTAAGGCCAACATTTTCAAGAGTGCCTTATTTTGTGGGTGCACATTATGACACACCTTAAAGAGGCCTGTTTTTCAGAAAGCGCCAAGTAGCTGCCCTCTGAAAATCAGGCCAACATAAGGCATGTAAAGTTAGCCCCCCCAAATCCCTAGTCCCTTTTGAAAATCTTGGCCTAACTGACTAGCCCAAAGTCACTCAGCAGGAGAAGACTGGGATCAAGAAAAAGGCCTTGTATGTTCCTATCCGTGACCACATACCCATTCCCTACAGGCAAGTAGATTAGATTGAGGTTCTGAGTACATTGTAAGTACAGCTATGCTTTTGTAAACAATGCCTATCTTCTGACCTTTAACAGTCACAAAAACAACAAAGACCTGTGGAGTTGTGTCCACACAACAGATTTTCTTTCCTAACGCAACCATGTTTTAGGGCTGGTCTACACTGGGGGGGATCAATCTAATATACGCAACTTCAGCTACATGAATAGCGTAGCTGAAGTCAAAGTACCTTAGATCGATTTACCTTGGATCCTCACAGCGTGGGATCGACGGCCGCGGCTCCCCCGTCGACTCCACTACCACCGCTCGCTTGTTAAGACGCGATATATCGATCCCCGATAAATCGATCGCTACCCGCCGATACGGTGGGTAGTCTGGACGTACCCTGTGTCTCTATACCTTCCAGGCCACCCAGCTGTATTTGTATCAATGTGGGGGGGGGAGAACTAGGCAGCTATCCCATAGTGCCTCAACAGCGGAGAGGGAGCCTGGAAGACGAGCATGCAGAGCAGGAACAGCAGCATGTTAGGCAATGCATGCTGGGAGGTTCTACCGCACAGAGAACTGGCCAACCCAGTGACAGTAACAGAGTTAGTGGGTCCAATCTATATTACTATTAAAAAAAAAAAGTATGCTGAGACAGTTACTGGAAGACAACCAAGGCCACTGGCATAATAATTGTCATGGTTACTTACAGATTACTACCCATAGTGTACATAGACCAAAATCATGTTTGGAGCCAACCATATTATAAACTCAGTTGTAGTGTAGACAGATCCTAAGGGGTGGATTCTGTTTTATGCCTAAGCTTTGCTCAGCCTGGGATGTGTCAAGGAGTTGGCTCCAGCTCTCCAATTTTAAAGGCCAGCCACAAACCCTAAGCAACTTAGAGATGCAGCCAGGTAGCAGCATTAAGTTATCCCACTGGTGGAGAGTTCTTAATGAAACCTACGGCAAAGAACGACTGTTATAGCATAGTGGAGTTCAGCCATACCCTTTCCCTGTTCCACATGGGAGAGGAGAGGGTGGGGGCAGAAGCACAAAGACTGACTGCAGCACAGACACACTAGCAGAGACTTGTCCTATGCTGGTTAAATTATCTGCTGGACATTTGCCAGTAGATTATGGCCCCTTTATGCCCCACCTGAATGAACATAAGAACGGCCATACTGTGTCAGACCAAAGGTCCATCTAGCCCAGTATCCTGTCTTCTGACAGCGGCCAATGCCAGGTGCCCCAGAGGGTATGAACAGAACTGGTAATCATCAAGTGATCCACGCCCTGTCACCCATTCCCAGCTTCTGGCAAACAGAGACTAGAGACACCATCCCTGCCCATCCTAGCTAATAGCCATTGATAGACCTATCCTCCATGAATTTATCTAATTCTTTTTTGAACCCTGTTATAGTCTTGGCATTCACAACATCCTCTGGCAAGGAGTTCCACAGGTTGACCGTGTGTTGTGTGAAGAAATACTTACTTTTGTTTGTTTTAAACCTGCTGCCTATTAATTTCATTTGGTGACCCCTAGTTCTTGTGTTATGAGAATGAGTAAATAACACATCCTTATTTACTTTCTCCACACCAGTCATGATTTTATAGACCTCAATCAGATTCCCCCTTAGTCGTCTCTTTTCCAAGCTGACAAGTCCCAGTCTTATGAATCTCTTCTCATACAGAAGCTGTTCTATACCCCTAATCATTTTTGTTGTGCTTTTCTGAACCTTTTCCAATTCCAATATATCTTTTTTGAGATGTGGCAACCACATCTGCATGCAGTATTCAAGATGTGGGCGTACCATGGATTTATATAGAGGCAATATGATATTTTCTGTCTTATCTATCCCTTTCTTAACGATTCCCAACAGTCTATTCACTTTTTTGACTGCTGCTGCACATTGAGTGGATGTTTTCAGAGAACTATCCACATTGACTCCAAGATCTCCTTCTTCAGTGGTAACAGCTAATTTAGACCCCATCATTTTATATGTATAGTTGGGATTAGGTTTCCCAATGTGCATTACTTTGCATTTATCAACATTGAATTTCATCTGCCATTTTGTTGCCCAGTCACTCAGTTTTGAGAGATCTTTTTGTAGCTCTTCACAGTCTGCCTGGGACTTAACTATATTGAGTAGTTTTGTAGCTGCAAATTTCGCCACCTCACTGTTTACCCCTTTTTCCAGATCATTTATGAATATGTTGAATAGGACTGGTTCCAGTACAGACCCCTGGGGGGACACCACTATTTACCTCTCTCCATTCTGAAAACTGACCATTTATTCCTACCCTTTTAAGCAGTTACCAATCCATGAGAGGACCTTCCCTCTTATCCCATGACAGCTTACTTTGCTTAAGAGCCTTTGGTGAGGGACCTTGTCAAAGGCTTTCTGAAAATCTAAGTACACTAGATCCCCCTTATCCACATACTTGTTGACCCCTTCAAAGAATTCTAGTAGATTGGTGAGGCATGATTTCTCTTTACAAAAAACAATGGTGCAAAGAGGCCTTAAATAGGCTTGAGAATCTGGTCCTCTGGCTCTGAATTTTGTAATCGTGTCATTTTCTTTGTTCCCATCTCCCATTTCAGTTTAGAGATGGGCTCGACCTGCAGAAGTTCAGATCTGGATGCTAAATTAAACAAAGTTGAAGGGTGTATGGTTCTAAGGGTTAAAAAAGAGAACAACCAGTTGTGAAGTTTGAATCTAGATCTGAATATCAATGTTGGAAGGTGTCTGGATCTTAAGTTTTGGATTGAATTCATCTCTAGTTCTTAGCTGCTCGAGAAACAACACGGTTTTTTAATACCTAACAATCTGAGCAAAGCTAGTCTGTGGTGCCAAAACTGGAGCCCTTTTCAAAACAGTGAGCAAGGCTGTGCTGATGGCAAGCTTTCAAAAAAAGTGTCCTTTGTGACCAGTAGCAATTTAAAACCTAAACCAAAGTCTTAAAAACTTAATGCATTCAACCTGTTTCTCCCTGGCAGATAAGCACCCACAATGTAAGTTATTGCTGTTACCAGTTGGAACGATAAGATATTAAAGCATTACTAACATAAATAATTTACTATTTATCTAGTACTAAACATGGTGAGCTCTGCCAGATGTCAAGTCAGCATCAGATGCTGAGTATCTCTGTTGCCATTTAAAGTTTTACAATAGTCTTTAGGGAAGGTAATATTAACTCAAGCCATCTCTTATGCAGTATAACTCTGCAAAATGCCATTTCAATGCTTAACCTTCATTCATCTTCACAGCCATTTCTAAAGGAATTGCGTGTTCTTTGTTTCCTCCAGGAAATTATGTGCAACTGTTTTTAAAAATACATACATGAAACTGATTCTCCTCTCATCCCTGCATAAATCAGAAGTAATGCCATTGAAGTCAGTGGCGTTACAATGATGTGAGGGGAGAATAAACTGCTCCTATTTTGATTCCTCTGTGCACAGCAAAATAAGAGTGGGAAAAAAATTAAAAAACAAAATAGCCAACAGTAATGAAGGAACTCACCTGGCTAGCTGACAAAATGCATGTAGGTCCTCCTGTAGCGATGAAGGACAGCTGCCTCTGAAGCCACAATAGCTCCTTCTGAGACTGTTTCAATAACTCCTCCATATCACTTGGCTTCTGACCCATCAGCCCTTCCTGTATGAGAAACATGTTCTTCAATAGCTGTTTTGTAATGCACAGTGATGGCAACGTACAATTTATCATCACTGGATTTCTAGGTAAACAATAACATCTGCCAGAGTAAAGTATCTATATTTATGCATTTGAAATATTAAGGATCAGTAAACCAAGAAGGAAAAAATGTTCCTGCTGCATCATACTTGAGTTGATTTTTATATTGTAGACAGTCTTGTACTGTATAGCATCCACATAAGGGATAAAGATTGTACAATAAAAATAATTCAGAAAGCACATAAGATTGGAATTTCTTTGTCCTTAATTTAGAATTGTCTGTCTTGGGGGGGATATCTCAGTGGTTTGAGCATTGGCCTGCTAAACCCAGGGTTGTGAGTTCAATCCTTGAGGGGGCCATATAGGGATCTGGGGCAAAAATCAATCTGGGGATTGGCCCTGCTTTGAGCAGGGGGTTGGACTAGATGACCTCCTGAGGTCCCTTCCAACCCTGATATTCTGTGATTCTATATCACAGACTTCTGCCATCAAAAAGTTGATACATTGCTTATGGCATAAGAAATTCAAAATCCTAATGTTCTTCTAATGCATTAACTCATTCTGCTTAAATAATGGTGATGCAATTGCTGGGACCAATAATCAGGTTATGGATTGTAATTCCTGTATATGGAAGCAAATCATTCAAGAACTGGTTAGGTTGGGAACCAAAGCTTTGATAAATCCATGGTCCAGTATAATAATGCAAAACAAGGTAGAAGGCTGGGATGAAAAATTTAGAGACAGAAAACAAGATGGCTGACTCAGCAACCTTTCATCAATGTTCATGTGAAGGATATCTCATTACACAATGCATTGTGAGTATACTGACATTAGTGATTTTACAGTAGATTAAAAATGCTGGCAGAGCAGGATAGAAACTTTAGTCAATATGTATTATCTGAAGGTTTTTCCGCCCCAATGTTTGTTATGAGAGCCATAATTTAAAATTACAGAGATACCAATCAGACGATTAATCCAGAGTACATCCATTAATGAAAGTCTGAACTCAGGGCCAATCCAGAGCATTGTGAATTCAAACCCAAATTGGCTTAGCTTGCAAAATATTTATTGTGAATGGGCTCCTGTCTTTTGCTGCACTTGCTTTAGTAAACCATAGAGATACAGGCTATATTATAACTCACTCTCTATTTAATGACCAAATAGTATCTGGACTTCCTCAAAGTTTTAAAATACTCTAATTTGGTTAGACTATCATCTCCAACAAATAAGGACTCTTAGCTGGCAGACGTGAGGATTAGTTTTCCATAATAAGAGCACTGTAAAAAACAGTGGACAAAATATAGACATTTTTCCCTCTCTAGAAGTAGTAGTGCATTTTCTTTAGTCGTGCTAGAGATTCCAGCTGGCAGAAACAGAAGCAGACGAAGCAGAGACTGCTGCACTGGGGAGAGGGTAAAATAGGGCAAAGCCAGGGCTACCTCTTTCTGGCACCTCCCTTGACCCAGAACTATGTAGGGAAGCCCCACCCTACTCTCAGGGCACAAGGAACCTGGCAGTGCTTCCCCTTCTGCCCTACCATGTGGCTTTGGAGGACAAAGAGGAGCCAGTCAGAGACTCCAGCCAGTAGGAACAGGAGCAGCCGAAGCAGGGACCTTTGGACATTCCAGCAGAACCATAGAATGTTTTCCGGCATTCTCTACCCTGTGCTGATTGGCTTTTGTGCACCAACCTCCCCGCATCCTCAGTCGCTTCACCTCAGCTTCACTCCACACTTGCCCCGTCCGGCTCAGCCCCTTTCCCTTTCCACCTAACTGATTCCACCCTAAGTCAAGCCACCCACGCACCAGAAATACTGTGGAACTAATGTGCCACCATCATCTCGTTCACGCTGCTTGTGTGTTAGACCCCCTTCCCCTTCTCTGTGCAGGAGCGGCACCAGGGTTTTTGGCGCCCTAGGCGTGGGTCCTTCCGTGCTCCTGGTCGTCGTTGGCAATTCTGCGGTGGGGGGGGGTCCTTCCACACTCCCAGTCTTCGGGGCACTTCGGCGGCGGGTCCCGGAGCGAGTGAAGGACCCGCCGCAGAATTGCCGCCGAAGACCCAGAGTGCGGAAGGACCCCCCGCTGCCGAATTGCAGCCACCCCCCCCAAATCCTGGTGCCCTAGGCGACCGCCTAGGTCGCCTAAATGGAAGCGCCGGCCCTGACTCTGTGTCTGTCTTGTCTATTTAGATGGCATTATCTCATTACTTCTTTGTACTCCCCCGGTCTGTCAGTATCCATCTGTTGTCTCTCATATTATACATAGGTTGTAAGCCCCTGGAGCAGGCACCGTCCTTTTGTTCTGTATCTGTACAACACCTAGCACAATGGGGTCCCAGTTCATGGCTGGGGCTCCTAAGTGCTACTGTAATACAAACAAACAAGTAACAGTCTTGCAAAAGTCTACCTACCCCCTCATGTGATGGAATCATATTTTAGTTGGGGCAAGTAAAAGGTCTTAAGTATTTGCATTATAATCATTATTTTGGAGATTGTAAGCCTGGGGCAATAATTATAGTGGTAATTTTGTAAGGCTGGCTTTGACCACTGTTATTCTCAAGTCTTACCATCAACTTTCTTCCTGAACATATACATAATAATAATACAATATATAAATTGGTATCAGTTTGTCTTGAATTGGGAATGGTGTAACAACACTTACTGGTGTGATGTGTATACAGGGAAAGAGTAATAGGATTACACTGGGACAGCAGGTACTGTGCCCTGCGCTGTACAGGCACAAAACAAAATGGTCCCTATCCCCTGCATTGTACAATCTAAGACCTACAGCAGAGAACAGAACTATTGGATACATATGTTGAATGTCTGATCTTCGAGTGGTGCAGGTTTTACTTTTCAGGTATAACATTCTTGGTCATCCCATCTCTACGCTCTACTCAGGACTTCTGTTATCCAATTCTGGAAAATCTAACAATGTTCTCTCCAAGAGCCCTTCTCCACTCCCCAAGTTTTGTCTCTTCACTGCAGTTTCATGTCTTCAATCACTGTGCTATCTGACAATACTTAAGCCCCTCAAGCACAGAACTTGTCTTATTTAACTGTAAAGCACCAAGCATGCTAAGTAATACATGGTAATAAAACTGTGCATCCTGACAGTCTCGGTAAGATATGGAGTGAGCCAGCATGTCCAGCAAGGAACCCCCACCCTCTGCCAACTTTAAGCTAACATGTTTTGCTTCCCCAAGGCTTCATTCTTGAAGTGCAAGGTGCACTGTTGATAAGAAATGAAAACGTTTTTGGATAAACAGAAAACTTTTCTCTGGGCTGCTTGAGTGAGTCTTCAATCCCGGGCCATGATCTCATGCACAGAGCACTAGACTGGCAGTCAGGAGACCTGGTCAGGTATCTATGACCAGCTCTGCCACTGACCTGCTTGGTGGGAAAATTACTTCACTTTTCTATGTCCTCATTTCTCTTCCAACTCATCTGTCCTGTTTATTTATACTGTAATCTCTTTGGGGCAGAGTCTGTCTCTCACTATGCATTTGTATAGCTCCTAGCACAGTGAGGCCTCCAACACCTTACTATATTATAAAAAACTACCTAAGCAGAGAGCTAACTCGCTGCATATTATTAATAAGATGAGGTCTGTGCACACATAACAGCATGTTGAAGTATCAAAATAAAACAAAATATATTTAACTCTGAGCAAAAATGAACCAATTATATTCTTCCTGCTTGGTTATAGTGTCACTGTGAACAAGACCCTTTTCAGTTCACAACAGAGGTGGATTTATATTTACCCTCAAGCACCCTAGTCGGTTTTTGAGCTCTTCACACTCCACTTGCAGCAGGCGGATCTCCAGATCTTTGATACCATGGGAATAATGGTTAGTGTTTGGAGGTTGCAAGGACTTCACATTCACTGAGCGTGTTTTGTGCTTTAAAGGAAACGTTTTGGTAGTAGTTCTTGAGGCGGTGGAGGATGATGAAGAAGCTGAAGGACTTCTGTCCTGGTAAAAAGGAAGACACACTGCATGTTATGACCATGGCAGTTTTCACTCTTTTTGCTGTAGTTGTGTCTGGGAAGAGAATGTGGTTTGATTTCATTGACAGTGTGAAAAGCATATTTTATTCCTCTCCCATAACTCAAAAACGGCTCAGTAGATTTTGCTCAATCTTTTAAAAAATGTTTCACTAGAGCCAAGAACCAAGTATGGAACATTTCAGCCTAGAAGGCAAGTTTTGTAGAAATTTATAAGCGTGTAATAATAGAGAGTTTAAATGGAAACAATTTTGCAATTGTAACTATGGTAGATGGATGGGTGGTATTAGGGCCTGATCCAAAGCTCACTGAAGTCAAAAGGAGTCGTTCCATTAACTTCAGGGGCCTTTGGATCAAACCCATATTCAGCAAATACCTTTGTTTTTTTAATTATTCACAACCCCCACCAAAAAATAAAACCCCACCTTCATTTAACATTAGTTAAGGTTGCTCTCAGCAATAAACTAAACCATAAAAAATTAGGACATACAAAGACAAAAATTAAAAGGATGCAATAAAGTCAAGTGCACTCCAGTTAGAAAAGGCCAGAAATAATGTTGCCTGTGGAACCTTGATCCGGCCCACTTTGTATATACATTATGATATAGCCTTTTACATGCAGAAGTGATTACAAGTGAAAAAGTTTGGTGCAAGTTATTTGCCCTGCATCACATTGGAATTTGGTGGCAGAAGCAAGGATAGTATCCAAGTCTCCAGGGTGACATTCAGCTGCCCGAACCATAAGACCATCCTTTCTCTTCCTGCAATCACTACACACCTTCCAACTTCTCAACAAATAAGGCAGGGGGTCCTACAGATAACATACTCCTTCACTACCAGGGCCAGATTAACCATTAGGCTAATAAGACTATAGCCTTCGGCCCTCCTATTTTTTAGGCCCTACTGGTCAGGCAGAGGGCGCGACCGGGGCCAGGTGAGGGAGGAGTGAGCTTGCTCACATAGCCCTGTTGGAGTGCTCCTGCCAGCAAGAAAGGCAATATAGCTCCCTGTGGCTTGGAAGGAGCTCAGGTGGCAGCCTGCTGCGTCTCCCTGGCTCCAGGCACCAAGCGTGTGCCTGGGGTGGCAAGCCGCGGGGAGCGGACTGCCGGTCACCATGAGGGCGGCAGACAGCCTGCCTTCGGCGGCATGCCTGCAGGAGGTCCGCCAGTCCTGCGGCTTTGGCGGCAATTCAGTGGCGGGTACGCCGAAGGCGCGGGACTGGCAGACCTCCCATAGGCATGCCACGGAAGCCTGCCTCACTGCCGTGCTTGGGGCAGCAAAATACATAGAGCCGCCCCTGGCTCCAGGAACACACTGCCAGGTATCCGGTTAACACTGGTGACCGGACACTAAAAATCCAGTTACCACGGGAACCTGTGCCAGCCATGGGTGTAGTTTGGGCAGGCATTGCCCCGCCCCATCCCTGATTTCTCCAAAGCTCTGCTTAGCTGTCAGGGAGGGAAGAAGCTCCCTCTGTCTCTCTCCTCCGCTGAGGCTGGCAGGCAGCTCCAGGACACTGCCTCCTGGGTTCTAGTGCCCATCACCGTCATCTTCTATGTGTGCTGGGTCCCGTTTCTGGACAACTGGTGAGTGCCTGTAGGGGGGCAGGGCAAAGAGGTGAGGTGGGGTGGGAAGAGGCAGTACCAGAGAGGTAGGGTGGGAAGCTTGCACAGAACCTGCACACACTCTTCCAGCTCCAGCCAGAACTCTTGCCCCTCCCATGTATAAGTAATGAATTCTCACACATTTGTAGGAAAAAACAAAACAAAACATCCCATTCTGGATTCCAGTACTTTAACTTTTACAGTTACCAGTACCTTCCATCGAGGGGCTTCAGATTTATGTGTTCAATACTGTATTGAACTGTATTAAAAAAAATCAAAGAAATCCAATTTTTTTCTTTGATGTATTTTTCTATACTGGGATGCACCGGCCACCAAGTTCTTTCCTTATGCTCAGCCTAGTTCCACAGGCCAGTGCATTTTTGTACTTTTAAGGGGTTGCAAAAGCACTGGAGGAAGCTCAACACACAATGTTGTAGGTTTCTCCCTCCCCTCTCCCTCAAGGATTTTAAATCCACTTCTTAGCAGGCTACGATAGAAAGACTGGCTGAATGCTAAAGGCAGGTTCTGTCCATTTGCTGGTTCTGTAGCAGTTCAATCTGTCATAAAAGTACCTCACATTTGGTTCCTTTTGAGTTTTATTCCAAAAACTTAAAGCTCAATAAACCTGAAGTTTGTCCTCATTTTTCTGCCCCAACTCAAACTAACTTCTTTCCCAAATGGAAAATGTTAGGTAAGCATGAAATGTGATTGGAGAAGGGAATGAGAACACAGGCCAATTCCTGCTAACAGTTACACCTGTGTAGCCTTATTGACTTCAGGGAGAACAGATTTTTGCACAAGAATAGATTTTGGTCCCTTCTGCTTTTTCACACCTGGTATAGCAGAATCTCATTCACTTTCCTCCCCTAAATTCTGAGCACTTTAAGGGGGAAAAAAATAAAAAATAAGGTCTGCTTGATTTACACATGCAAACGAAACAGGAAGCTCTCCCTTCATTTTACACCAGCCTTAAACAAACACTAGACCTGATGTAACAAGCGTGTCACTACAGCAGCCTTGGTTGGACTGTTCTTTTGAAAGATCCTTAATGATTCTTTTAAGATGCTGATTTTCAGTGAAGTCTTTTTGTTCAGTGGGGCAGAGAACACAACAGGGAATAGCTCTGTTTTGTCAACTCCTACTCATTCAAAAGCCGAAAGGCTTTAGATTAAGTTTGTTTAATGTTTGTATAGTGATTTTGAAGAGCTAACATAGTACAGAAGTGCTAAATATTATGACTGGGCAACCATCTAAAGATCTGTGTCACTTCTAGCTGTTTACCTTTTTTTTTTTTTTTTTTTTTTACAGAAAGCTTAAAACAAACAAATGCAAACCATAGGGGGCTGGTGCACATAGAACTCATGCTTAAAAAAACCTCATGTCAGAGCTGCTGATCACACATTCTAGAGTAGATAATACTTAGTCCTGCCATGAGCGCAGGGCACCGGACTAGATGACCTCTCGAGGTCCGTTCCAGTCCTATGATTCTATTCTATGATTCTAATTGTGGAAGAGCTTGGTGACAGAATGGCCTGATGTGGTGAATCACTGGAGATTAACTACACAAACTGGGTATCATCCCACAAATGATATTTGCAATCAATGTGAAAACAGTAATTCATTGGCCTCAGACAGTTCAACACTGGGAGGCAGCTTTCAGAGCAAGACAGCCTAAAATACAATGCCACCCAATGTAATTTTCCTACTACTACTTCAGTGGATTTTACATCCGAGTTGTTTTCTTTTACATAATAAAAGCTGTCTGCTTCCCAGACTGCAGTCAGAGTGAGACAGGGTATGTGGTGTAGAGGCCATAGCTTGGGGAAAACACCTGCAGGGCTTGGCTTTGCACTGTGCCATGTGGAGAGCTGAGGGTAGAAGCACCAGGTTGAAAGAGGTGAGCAGGATGGGGAATGTTGCAGTGTTCATCCTCCTACAGATATGCACTCCACTACCAGGGCTGCCCAGAGGATTCAGGGGGCCTGGGGCAAAGCGAGGGAGCTGCGGCGCTTGTACTCACCCGGCGGCGGTCCGGGTCTTCGGCGGCATTTCGGCGATGGGGGGCCCTTCAGTCGCTCCACGTCTTCAGCAGCACTGAAGGGCCCCCAGCCGCCGAAATGCCACCGAAGACCCGGACCGCCGCCGGGCCAGGGCTCGTGGGGCCCAGGTAAAAAAGCCCCACTTCCCTTCCCCCTCCCCCGGGCAGCCCCGTCCACTACTTAGGAGGAATGAGGCCTAAGAGAAGAACAGCATAGCATTCCTCGTACTACCTCTTACTCAGAAGTATCTGTTTGGAGAACTGAGTGTAGTGAGAGTAAAATAAACTTGTTAATTTTACATAAATAAATAATATGTAAATATGTAGGTAGAGAAATGTTTGACTTCATAATTTTTTTTGCAATATGTCATTCATACTTAGGCCCTTCCCTCCCATTAGCTTTAGGCCCCTCATAATCTTAATCCAACCCTGGTCACTACACAACCCTGATTCATCCCCAAAGCAGATCCATCCCATGCACTGAATGAAGCAGGGATCTTGTGTAAAAAACAAATATCGGATCATGTAATAATGGCTGTATCACAGATTCATAGATGCTAGGACTGGAAGGGACCTCGAGAGGTCATAGAGTCCAGTCCCCTGCCATCATAATGCATGGTTTACTTTATTGATGAGAGCAAGCTTAACTAATGTTAAATGAAGTTTGTGAATTTCCTTAGTGTTTTAATAGAAAGCAAACCTTTCATATATGTGCTCTTTACATAATAAAGCACTTCCACATTTGTTATCTTCATTGTGTATTTGCCATTATCTTTGTGAAGCTTTATATTTCATTGCTCAGGC